AAAAGAACACACTTCTAAATAAACCTTTAATCAGAAAGATATAAATATGGAAATTAGAAAATATTTTAAACTAAATGAGACAATTCTGCATTTCAAATCTTGTGAAATGCTGGTAAATGGTAAGATTTATAGGTTTAAATAAACAGCTAAGAAAAGAAAGGCTGGAAAATTAAATGAGCTGAGCATCCCTCTCAGGAAGTCAGAAAAAAAGTACAGCAAAGAATGTAGAAGAAAATAATAAAAATAAGACCAGAAATTGATGAAATAGAAAACCAATGTAAAACAGAGAGGATAAATAAAACCAAAAGTTGGTGTTTTGAAAAATCTAATGAAATTAATAAACTTCTAGTGCAAATGGTAAAGACCAAAAATAGAAGGCACAAATAACCAGTGTCAGGAAAGATTAAAGAGGTCAACATTATAGATGCTGCTGACATAAAAATGGAAATAAAGTATAAATAACTTCAAGCCAATATATTTTTCAATTTAGATGAATAAATAAATTCTCAGAAAAACATAATTGCAAAATTGACACAAGAAAGAAACAGAATGTGAGTATATCTATAACCATCAAAGAAACTGAAGCAGTAGTCAAAATTCTTTTCACAAAGAAAACTCTAGGTCCAGATGGGTACACCAGCAAATGTATTTTCGATCTTAGACAAATTTTCCCAGAGGACGAAAAAAGAAAGAATATTTCCCACACGTTTTATGATAAAAACTTTATGATACAAGTCTCTAACAAGCACACTATGAGAAAGGAAAATAATAGGCCAATCTCACTTATGAACGTAGGTGTAAAAGTCCTAAATAGGATCTGAGTGAACTGATTCCTGCATATATTCATCATTATTAGGATGGTTTATTCCAGGAATGAAAGGTTAGGTGATAGTTAAATAAATTAATATCATAATACATACTAGCAGATTAAAAGAGAATCTCATTAAATGCAGAAAACTGTTTGATAAAATTCACCATTTATTTAGCAAACTAAATATTGTAGGGAATAGAGTGACTCTATCTAAAACCTTCAGTAAACATCATGCTTAACAGTAAAAAGGTAAAAACTTTCCTTTTCAGGTCAGGAAAAAAGATAAGGATGCCTGTGATCATCTCTTTTGTTCAACATTGTCCTGGATGTTCTAGCTAACATACAAAGGCAAGGATAAAAAGGGAGGAGAAAGGAAAAAATATTGGAGAGGAAGAAACAAAACTGTCATTATTCATAGGCATGATTGTATATGTGAAAATTCCAAAAGATCTACGAATAAACTATTTTAACTAATAATTAATAAGAGGGTTTAGCAAGGTCTCTGAACTTAAAATAGCAATATATAAAAACAATTACATTTATATGTACCAGCAACAAATAATCAAAATTTAAGAAAGATGCCATTTATAACAACATTAAAAATTAAGTAGTACCTAAAACTAAAGCTAACAAAAATTTGCAAGGTTTCTATGAAGACATTAATATAAATTTATTTAGAGACAATTAAAGAAGACTTAAATAAATGGAGAGACATAACCTGCTAATAGATTTAAGACTCAATATTGTAGAAATGTCAATTCTTCTAAAATCGATCTACATATTCAATGTTATCCCAATAAAAATCTCGAAAGTATTTTTGTAGCACATGACATTTTAATTTTATAGTGAAGTAGAGAGAGCCAAGAACAGCAAAGCATTCATAAGAAAGAGACAAGGTAAGAAGACCTGCTTTACCAGATTTCAAGACCCCTCTATGATGCCATGCACACAAATGAATTCCTGGTGGAACTGTGAAAGGCATAACTATAAAACCTTCAGAAGATAATATATTAGAATATCAACATAACCTCAAAGTAAGGAATAATTCCTTAATCAAGAAATACCATGCATTACAAGATTGATAAATTGAACTACTCTAATATTAAAGATTTTACATATCAAAATATACTAAAAAAGCAGCCAAGAAGTGAAATACTTGTGTATCACAAAGAAGACAGAGAACTGATGCCCAAAGTATTAAGAACTCATAGAAACCAATAAGAAGACAATTCAATAGAAAGACTTGAACAGACACCTCACAAAAGAAATCCAAATGAACAATAAACATATAGAAGTTGATTAGTAATCGAGGAAATGCAAATTAAGACCTCAATGAGATATTACTATAAACCCACCAGATGAGCTAAAATTTAAAACTTGGAGAATATCAAGTGTGGTGAGATTATGGAACAAGAACTACTGTCGTGCTGATATGTATATACATGCACTTCTGTACATTTACAAGAATGTTCGTTCACAGTGGTATTATCTGTAATACACTCATACTGGAAACATAATTATTAGAATAAACACTATATTTTTACACAATGATATTCTATGTAGTATACCACAGCTACATATAAAGAAGGAAAAAACACTAAAGAACACGATTCATTTATATTAACATTTTGAAAATTTACATAGAGTTCAAAAATTGGCAAGACTAAACATTTAGAAATAAATACATAAGTATTTATTTAAATTTATTTGATGGCTTTATATTAGATTAAATTTTGTAAATGTTCACTGTTTATTGAAAAGAATGTGTATTCTCTTGTTTTGGTTGAAGGATTTCATTTACATATATAAGCAAAATATTTAAATTCATAGGAATGCGCATAATTCATAAATGTTTTTAAATTGTTGATGTATCAATCCGAGGAATTTGTGTTAAAAAAATTCCCACTACAATTGTAGATTTCTCAGTTTTTCCTTTTAATTATTTTTATTTAGTTATTTCATATTTTTCCAGGCTATGCAGTTATGTAGTTGCATATATATTCACGATTGTAATATTTTCCTGTGGATTGTTCTTTGTGATGCAGTGCAATATCCCTATTATATGTCCTTGTTAACACTGCTCTATTTAAAAAATACTTTTGATAATTAATATTGCTACATAATATTGCTACAACAATTTTTTGTTGTTGTTTAGAATTTGCCTGGTATATTTTTCTACACCACTGAGCAAAACAGAGATTCCTGCCCTTGTAGAATTTATACTCTGCATGGGATAGGTAGAGAAAGAAATAATATAATTAAATTATACAGGATCATGGAAAATGTTATGCACTAGGAAAAGTATAGCAGGATAAGATATATAAGGAACTCAAGGATATTAACAGACAAAGGCGGAGGAAGATACTTTACACAGGGCTGACATGGTTGGTTGATCTCCTTTGAACAAAGACTTGAATAAGACAGGCAAGAGTGTTCTTCACCAAGGAAGGAGCTAATGCAAGGGCCCTAAGGCAGGAGCTATGCTCAAACAACAGGAAAGCCAGCAACCTAGAGAGACATGATCAAGAGAGGTCGACTAGGCTGGGAACAGCCTGATAAGTTGTTGTAGGCACCTTTGACTTTTACTGTGAGAAAAATGGAGTCAACACCTCCACACTGTCTGACTAGATCTCCTTTTCTCCCAACTCCATCTAACTGTATTATTAATTTTTAAAAATTGTTGCCAAGCTGATGCTATAATGTTACAATTCACTGTTAGTTTACTTTTATTTTCTTAATAGGGTAGTTGAGATTTTTTCATGTTGTCTATCTGGAATTGCTTTTTCTGTATGGCCTGTTTACATTTGTTAAATTTTTTTACTGGATTGTGTTTGTATTTTTTATATCATGTGTATCAGCTGTAGTAGTGGTAGTTGTTACCCTTTATACATTAGAGACATTACAGAATTTACCTGCTAATCTGGCATTTATCTTTGATTTTGTTTTTGACAACTCTTGCCATAAAACTAAAAGTTTATATATATGAATTTTAAAAATTATTTCCTTTATAGCCCTTAGGTGTTCAGCCTTGATCAAAAGGTCTCTTACAAACCCTAGGTTGTATAAATAATCTCTTAAATTTTCTACTTAGATTTCTACAGTTACTTTTTCCTTTTGGGTGTTTAATTCAACTGGACACAGTGTTCATATAAGCTTTAACACTGGAATTCCTACATTACATTCTGCTATAAGAACAGTCAGTTTTCTTATCACAGTTATTACACAAAACATCCTTTTCACGTTGAATTAAGATTTGTCATATTAAAAAGAAGCAATTTTTAAGGTTAAGATATACTATACCTTATCCAAAAGCTTGTAAGAATGATCTGAAAGGGGTGAATTAATAGGTAATGAGACAGGAAATAGAGGATGCCAGTCACTAAGCAGGCTGGGGGGATTAGGACCCAGAGCACAGGGAGAGGGTTTGGGTCATGGCATCTCTACTAAACATGGAAAGCTAAGCATATAGTTGAAGGCAGCTTGGTAGATCTGCTGGGGAGCTTGAGGAATCCTTGTTTAAGAGGTTTTATTTTCCCAGGGAACGAGGATGGGGAAAGAAAAGAGCATGGAAGAGGCATGTAGATTTGAGGAGAGAGAGGAATGTGGGAAATCATATTACTGCAGAGTGGAAAAATAAACAATTAGAACAGTATAAGAGGTCTGGCAGGCAAAATTAAGGAACCAATTAGTTTTTTTGTGGTAATGGGTTTAAAATGAGGATTCTTGGGAGGTTACGATTTTTGCCAGCAAAGGTAGCTGATAGGGTGAATTTTAAATTTTTAATAAACTTTTCATTTCTTTTTCTAATACTTTCAAAGCATTTAAATCCAAAGCTTTACAGTTTCACGTTCTTATTAGTATTTTAAAATCACCAAAGTAAAAAAATTTTTAGTTTCCTTTTTTATTAATACTTTCAGAGCATTTAAGTCAAACTTTTAATTTTGTGGACTGATTATATGTTAGTGTTAATGAAATTAGGGAGGTTATTTAATCATGGTTGATGATCAAAAGATTAGGTAGTGGGCTAGTAGTTAAAAGAATCAGGGTAATTGGCTCAGGGTTGAAATGGGCAATTGGAACATAAAAAGCAGGGGTATTTTCTATATTGTGTCACCATATTGTGTCATTGTTACTTCATTCCTCCACTTCAAAAGTGCATCAATCATTCATTCATTCAACAAATACTTACTCAGCACCTATTATGTGCCAGGCACTGTTCTATATGCAGAAGATACACCAGTGAACAAGAGAGACAAGGTTCCTGCTTTCCTGGAACTTATGTTCTAATACAGGAAGATAGACAATAATAAAAAGAATATTAATAATAATAATAGCTAACATTTACTTAGCAAGTACTGTTTGCTGAGACAGTTTTAAGCACTTTACAAGTATAAATTCACTAATTCTTATAAGATTATCAAGTACAGACTAGAATCATTCCCATTTTATATGAGGAAACTGAGGGCACAAAAGGGAAAATAACTTGCCTAAGGTTACACAGCTAGGAAAGGGCAGAACTGGAATTTAGAACCGTGCCAGGCAGGCTACAGATCTCTTTCTCGAAATAACTTTGCTATGCTGCTTCTCAGAGAAGAGACAAGGCAATAAGCAAATAATGAACAGAATAAATTCAAGTGGGCTTAGCATTATAAAAAAAAACAAAACAAAACAGGGTGATATGACAGTATTTGTGTGTGGGAGGGCTAGGTATTCAAATGTAGATGGCAGGGAAAACATCGCTGGGGAGATGACATTTGGACTGAGACTTGAAGGACAGTAATATAGTTATCTTGGGGCACAAGCAGCAGAGAAAAGCTAGTAAAAAGGAACCTTTCCTTGTTTGTGAAACAGAAATGCCCAGTTGGCTGTGGCCAGAACTGAGTGTATAAAGGAGTGACTGATTAGATAGATGTGAAGTCAGGGAGATAGGCAGGAGGCCAGGCCTGATGGGTCCTCAGGCTACATTAAGAAAGTTGATTTCTATTCTAATAGCAACGGATTTTTATGCAGGAGAGTAACACTACCTGATTTATAATTTAAAAAAACCATTCACAGCTATATGGAAAATTGAATGTAGGACAAAGGAGGAAGCAGGAAGATCCATTAGGAAGCAGTAACAATCCAGGTGGAAAATGATAGTGGCAGTATAATTAAATTTAGAGTATATTTTGAAAGGTGAATTGGCAAGACTTGCAAAGGAACTGGATGTGAAGAGTGAAAAAAAAGGGATTTAAGTAGGAGCCTTGGGATTTGGGTTTCAGTAACTAGCATGGTTGTGTCCTTTACTGAGATGTGTAAAACTAGAGGAATACCTTCAGTAAGAAAAGTCAAGATTCACATCTTGAACTTTAGGAGGAAGGGAGTTTTTCTATTTATTTTACTTGTTTGTTTAAAAGTTTCAAAGAAAGAGTTCTGGGAAGAAAGCATTTTAGTGCTCAATTTTATGAGCTCTTTACATTTGAAACTAAGTTGAGGGAGTTGATTTTCATTTGTTTAACAAATTATTAAACATCTACTGTGGTCAAGGACTGTGATGAGATATCAAGATAAACTAAGCAAACAAGATCTCCACCCCCAGACTGCTTTCTTTTTTGAGAGGGGGAGGGCGGGGAGGAGAAAGGACAATTAATACTTATTTTTTTCCTCTTCGTTGTCTTATTAAAACTTCATCTAACGCATGAGTAGCCATCTTATAATAATTACACCTCGTGCTCCAGGCAGTTGGGCCCACCGTTCTTAACGCTCAAAAGCAATTAATAAATGAGTCTCTAACAGTGACGACTCCCCTCCCGCTAGAACTTAGCTTCTTTAAAATAAAAATTTTACCAAACAATACGAATACAACCTTTGCTTTGAAGACTAATATTTTGGCAGGAATGGTACCTTTATAAAGATCGTGGTTGCCCCCGTACATATTTGTTCTTTCTTCATATCCAATTAAATGAAAACACTAGTTTTTTCCGTAGCCCAACTCTCTAGGCTTGTTGGGTCTAGCTCAGGAGAAAGGAAGCAGGAGCCGTTGGATTTAAACAGTTAGATGTAATCCTTTTCTACGCTCTCTCTCGCTAGCCGGGGACGTGGTATCGGCTACCCGGGGCTTTCCGTCCACGCAGTACTGGAATGAAGGAGTCTGGGAGGGGGTCGGGGAAGGAATAGACGGAAAAGACATTAAGTAATTGGTTCTTGAAGGTATAAAATCATGTTTAGGGTCTGCTCTAACGCACCGATTTCAAACGCCCGCCCCCTCGGCCGTTTCGGCCCCACCCCTTGCTGTCGTCACGCGGACTTCCACTTTGGTCTCTGAGGATTGGTCGCTGCCTCCACCTCTGAAGTGCGGATAAGAGCTTGGAGTTTGTTTCCGGGTCTTGGGCTTTGGCCCCTGGCGCAGAGGATTCTGGGAGCCAAGAGTCGTAATGGTGTCTGTATGATCACCGGAGGCTGCTGCATCGGACCTCGGCCACTGTGAGCAGCAGGAGGATAGCAGATTGTCTTCTTTATCCGAGTGGGGCGGGAGAGGGCAGTTGGGACCGGAATCGCCGACGGAGAACCGAGCACAGGCAGAGGAGACCCCGGAGCAGTGGGAGGGTGGCGGAGCCCAGCGCCTGTGGGCAAGTCTTGAGTGCTAGGGGCCGCGGATAGCGCAGCGCTAAGGCAGCACTGCAATCGGCGTTAAGCCGGGTCCGGGCCTCCCATCTGTTGCTGAGTCTGGCAAGGTGAAGAGTCAGCTAGTTCCTGGTGACATCCCGAAGACGAACTCCCGGGAGGCGAGAGCGATAATTACGCGGGGTTGTGTAGGAGACGGCGGCGCCCCCACCATCATGAAACCCAGTTAGCCCCCCTTTGGATACATCCTTTTCTCTTTTTTGAAAATCTATAGACGTATACCAGTTCCCCCAAGTTACCCCACACACTTACTTTTTTTTTTTTTTTTTTTGATGCTTAACGGGGTTTTAGTAGCCACGTCTGCTGTGCTGTATTCTTTTGGATGTTCAAAACCAAAAGTAACATAGGGAACGAGTCCCTGATTTGATCAGAATCTTTTGGGAGTGAGGTTCCTGTCTTTTGAGCATTCCTTTATTTATGACCTACAAAGCATCTGATTTATGTTGGCAGCTGTAAGAGAAAGTTGGGTCAACAGAAGGTTCTTGGAGAATTTTGCCCGCCTGTCATTAAAGTTTAGCACACTTTTCTCCAGGATTCTCAGTAATTGTGATTAAGATATTTTTTTTAATGATTTTTAAAATATTCTTTTTGTTTTTGTAGTTACTAGCCTATTTCTGTTGTGTGAGATTTAGATAAAATGCGAACCTTAGCGAGTTTGGTGGAATAAGGTTGAGTTGAGAATTTTTAAAACTCAGTCATGGCAGTATTGTATTTTACAAGAGTTTTGCCAGATCAGATCTCATAGTCTATGAGGAATATTCTCATTCCACTTATGACAGAAACTTAAGCTAGGTGACTTGCCCAAGGTCACAGAACCAGAAGGAAAACAGGAACACAAACTCAGATCTTCATGACAGAATTTTTTGTACTAACAGGAGCTTCCTAAGACGTTATATCCTTTGTACACCCTGAACCTAATTTTTTCCTTAGAATTTTTGTTTGACGTTAAGTAAGTTTTGGGGAATGAGTTATGGAAATTATTTCACAAGAATAAATATTGATTAATACTTTATAAAATGGGAGTTTGTCATAGGGGAAGTAACTTGATACTATTTTTCTTTAAAGCATAAAAGATGACAACAGCAGCTAGGCCAACTTTTGAACCTGCAAGAGGTGGCAGAGGAAAAGGAGAAGGTGATTTGAGCCAACTCTCAAAGCAGTACTCAAGTAGAGATCTACCTTCTCATACAAAGATAAAATATAGGTAATGAAGACTCATTTTTTTCTTGTTTACGAAGCAAAACCAAATCTGTTAAATGGCATGGTCATGACATATCAGCACATTTGGGTTACATCACTTAAATAATCTATTTTCATTAGAGTGGAATGTGGTGGTGTCTAACGTTAAAATTATGTTCTATGATTGTAAAATGCTACCAGAAATTCCCATTAACCAGGAATTTCGTGTGGAGATGGAACAATATCTAATATATTACCTCATAGCGACCATGCACTATTAGCACTAATCAGTCTGAGATTAAAAGTGTTCCTGTAATGGGCCCTGAGTTGACATACTAACAAAAATGTAAAGAATTTTAATCAGTCTGCAGTGTTATGAGAAAACGTGTGATTCAGTTGGAGCTTGAAATACTGGAAATGCCACAAGGACGCCTGTTAATAACCTTCAGGTTAGGGCAGTAATGTTGTCCAGTTCCCTCTTTTATGCTTGAGAGACTCAAGGACAAAGTAGCATTTTGTGAATTGTTTTCCATTGCTACAGCTATGTGGCTTTTGGGGAACACTTTTGCCCTGGTTTGTTTCTACTTTAGACAGACTACTCAGGATGCCCCTGAAGAGGTTCGGAACCGTGACTTCAGGCGAGAGTTGGAAGAGAGAGAGAGAGCTGCTGCAAGAGAAAAAAATAGAGATCGTCCAACCCGAGGTACAAACACTACCCCATACTCGTGTCTTGTAAGATTAGGTTGACAGTTATTTTTCTTTCATATGGTAATGGTTTACAATTTTTGTTTGCTTTTAAATATTGTTGTGAGCTTGCAATACTTTCTTAAATGATTAGATTCGGTTAGAGATGATGATAAGTTTTTTTCAGTACTATCTTTTTATGCTTGTATGTTAGAAGGAACAGGGTGAGCTGGGGATATTTAGTAGCCATTGTTTCAGCTCAGATCAAACAGACTTTGATTATTTACGAGAGCCAGACTTTTTGAGGTCCCATTATTTCTATTAAATTTTCTCATTTTTTTCACTGGCTAGATGATAATGAGGCATCTAAGGGCAACAGTTATAATATCCTTTATATTTCTAGCATATGTAAACTATTCTCTAAATTTCCTGAGAAAGGCTATAGTTCCCATATTAAAATCATTAATTCAGTCAACAAATATTTTCCAAGAGCTTATTTGCCAGGCACTGTGGTTTTTCTCCCTGCTGTCATGATGGTTATAATCTAAGCTCTGTGTGCCCACAAGTCCCTAAAATGTTATAAGAAATGCAGTACTCATTTCAGTAAACTAAGTGATGTTTGTTTTTCCTCAGAACACACAACCTCCTCTTCAGTGTCAAAGAAGCCTCGGCTAGACCAGATTCCCGCTGCCAACCTTGATGCAGATGATCCTCTAACAGATGTATGTTTTGTTTCTTCCTTTCATCTTCATGTAGTAATTTATGTTTTCTGAAATACTTTTTTAGTCTCTGGCTTTCATTGCCTTGCATTTATTTTCCTTACTGTATTTTTATTTAATTACCGTAGCCCTGACTTCAATGGTAAACTTTATAGTTGATTTTAAAACAAAAAAGTTATATTATAGTTAATCAAACTTCAGGAACAAGTTTGATCTTTGGAGAACCAAATAAGGAAGTGATCTATTAAAGAATATTAACTGACCTAAAGAATATTAACGAGCAAACTAAATGAAAACAGACTCACAGATACAGAGAATAAACTGGCATTTGCCAGAGGAGAGGGGTTTTGCGGGGCTGGGTGGGAAAGGCGAAGGGATGAAGTGCAGATTAGTAGTTAAAAAAGAATCATGGGGATTTAGAGTGTAGCATAGGATATATAGTCAATATTATTATAATGGTTGTATAGTGCCAGATGGGGGCTAGAGTAGTCAGAAGGATCACTTCATGGATTGTCTAAATGTCTCACTTTTTAAAATTTAAAAGAAAAATTAAACTATGGAGATTGGGCTACCATGTAATAGACCTCCAGAGGGCACTCTTCAGACTGGACTCTATATTAGTAGCACCCCCTAGAGTTGAAGTCAGGTGCCTTTCCACATTATATACCAGGGATGCCCTTCCAGGTGCGCAGAGCACTTAATGGCCCCCTCTGTGCCTAGGGAGGGAAATGACCGAAGTAGAAGGTTTTTAAGGATTAGTGTGTAAATTAACATTGAAATTGAGTGAAACCCACAGTATAATTAATTTGCAGTTTTCTGTATACGGTGAAAAAAATCTTAGTCACTTTTTATGAGTAGCATCTAATTAAGCACATGTATCAGCAATTCCCGAGTTGACAGATTGAATAAATAATTAAGTAATTAAATATAAAGAACTCAGTTTTAAGGGAGATTTAATGATTATTCATTTGAAATTAGTTTCTTCTGAGAATTTAGCACCCTTTTTGTACTTTTGATTATCCTTACTTCCTAGCTTAAAGTTGTTTTGAGTTATATAAAATTATGGATTCTCAGGGTAATATACATATGTATTGTTTATCAGTGTAAAGTATTCCTTTTCTGGTTTTAGAAATATTTTCATATATAAATTTTCTGTCAACCATGTAAATATGAAAGGTACTTTATCGTACTATTTGCTGTTACAATCTCTAAAACCCATCAGCGGTTGGCATTTTAGTAAGTATTCATAAGCTCTTTTGTGGGTTTTTATTTTTTGATTGGTTTTTGATTTTAATCATATTTAAGTGCATTTATCTTTCCCACTAGGAAAATTAATCTTGCTCCAAAGGTTTGGTAAGTGCGATTTTTATGGAAAAAAAATGAATAATATGCATTTTCTCTCCCAATCTCCTGGACCATCACCTTTCTTTTTTAGGAGGAAGATGAAGATGAAGACTTTGAAGAAGAGAGTGATGACGATGATACTGCAGCTCTTCTTGCAGAACTAGAAAAAATTAAAAAAGAAAGAGCTGAAGAGCAAGCCAGAAAGGTAAAATTGAAGTGTTAAATGTTAACATCTTTTTACGTGAACTATAAGTAGAAATATTTTTTAATTCAAGTAATGTATTAGAATTCATTGTTACCATGTCTAGATATTCTAGCTCCTGTAGATCTGTAAATCCGATAATTTTTGTGACATCCTAGATCTCCTGATTATGTTTGAAATTCTTTAATAATACTCATCAAATTGCTCTTCATTCACTTATTTGTTGTTCAAAAGACATTTATTCTATTAAGTGTCGGAAGAATCAAAGATGATTAAGATATAGTCATAGCCTACAAAGAACCCAGGGATATGATGAGGCCATCTTCATCTCTGTCCTTGTCTCCTGCCTCAAGCTTCTTTCCAAGAACTTGTCGAGGCAATCTTTCAGTAGATTTTGTATAACCTCGGACTAACTTCTCTGAGTGCCAACAGTTTATCAGTTTATACAATGGAAGAAAGGAATGTCTAATGCAAAGATAGTTAAAAGGATTAAATAGGATCCATAATACATACCTTTAAACTTTAAGTTACCCAAAGTAATAAAAATAAGAGGTGAAACTGGAGAAGTAAGAGCATATCAGAGCATTAGAGGTTTGTAAACCAGTGCTAACGGAGTTTGGAATGTGTTCTGAAGAATATGGAACCAGTCCATTTCACCAGGAGATTGCTAAGATTGGATATGCATTTTAGAAAGATTTCTCTGGTAAAAGTATGGAAGGTAGATTGGAAAGAACTGATTTAGGAGGCTGTTCCGGTAATCCTCACATGCAGTCACGAGAATCATGCATAGTAGGAATTGGAATTGCTGGAAGTAATTAAACAGGTGCTGATAGAGCTATCAAGGAGGTAGAATTGACTAGATAAAGTGAGTAGATGTGGGAGCAAAGGTGACCCTCACCCCACCCCCCAGTTTCTGTGTAAATATTGGTGCCATATGCTAATATAGGGAATGCTGAAGGATGAGCATGTTTACTTCGAGAAAAGAGAGATAATGAGTTCTGTTTGGTACATGTCGAATTTGCTACATTGTGAGACATTTCAAGTAAAGGTATCTGCCTCCACTTTCAACCAGACCAGAGCCCATTTTTTATGATTTCTGTGTAAGATTTCATTTGAGCCAAGAATTGTTCTGTTTTAAAAAGGAGGAAGACGACTTGATAAAAAAGACTAATGTAGGTTAATGCTTAGAATCTAGGAAGGTAGAGTTCATGTGGGTCAGAAAGGTCAGGGAAGAATTCAGAAAAGAGGTCAAATTTAGGATAGGCATTGCAGACTACTAGAATTCAGATTGGAAGAAGAAACATTTTAAAATATAATTCTCATTAAAGTTTGGCATAGGATAGCATAACTTCTATAATAACTTATAATTTGTATATCTAATTATGGAAATCAAAGAATTATAACATTCCTAATATCACTTGCACACCACTAGAGGGCAGTTCTATTCCAAATTCTTTTGAGTTATCTAACATAAAGAGATGAGCAATTTAAATGCATTGGATTAACCCTTAAAAAGGATAAACATTTTAGACAGAATATCTTGTCATTTTATTCATCTAACCGCTACAAAAATGTGTTAATGTTTCTTAGGGTTGAATAATAGTTTATTTCTTTTGTCCTTATTTCTCTGTTTGGCCTAGTGACTCATTTTTTGGGTGTCCCAAAATAAAATTTTCCAACCAGTCAGCCTATGTCAGGGGCTGGGAAACTTCCTGTAGAGGGTCAGATAGTAAATATTTTAGGCTTGCAGGCCACACAGCCTGTTAAAACACTTGAGCACTGCTTGTTACAATGCAGGCAAAACAAAGTGGTGTGGATTTGACCTGCAGCCTATTCAGCCTTTAGCCTGTGTTCATGAAGCATTATGTCCCAGGTACTTGAATATGGAAGGAGTTGGTACCTTTTTTCCCAGAGCTGTGTGGCAACCAACCAGTAACTCTAAAGGAAATAATATTCCAAACATAGAATGGCCAGGACCTTATTACACACGTTGTTATTATTATTATAAATTTGGATACATTGAATACTTTAGCTCCTAGTTTTCTAGCATCTCAGAGAAATGTCTTTTTACGTTCAGCATCAGTATAATTTGTTAAAAATAAGTAATTTTTAGAAAGCTATCTGTTCTTAATCTATAGTGGATTTTCTTAACTTTAAGTTTTGAGCAGTGACCTAAAAGAATTCCCCCCCACTCCCTCCCTGAAAATCACATCTTCTCACCCCCAGTTACTGCTTCATAAAAATGAAATCCATTGGTTCACATTTGGGTGTTGAAATGAGATATCATTGACCCATATAGAAAATCAGACTCTTTTTTCAAGTGGTTTAACATAGGTCTACTTTAAATGGACTTCCAGAAAGTCTTTTTTTCCTTCATCTATTAAGTCATCAATTTCAGCCATTCCCAACACACAGCAGAGTCAGATTTATCTTTGGTTTAAGATAGCATGGAATCAGGTAGATATAGAAATTATGGTTAAGATTTTAGACATTTTATATTCCTAATTCTAAGAATGAAACTGAGGGGGATTTGAGTTTAAAGAGGTTAATGCTAAAAGTGAAGAAAGACAGGCTTATAATTGATAAGATATGAGTAATAAAAGTAGAAAGTCAGTAATAAATCATAAGAACAAAATGGATAAACCAGGTAAATTAGTAGAAATACATCTTAACTGAATATATGTACACTAACACATTTTGATAGTTTATCTTATTTTAGGAGATACTTCTTGGATAATAATTTGTCATAATTCATAGAGATGCAAGTTTACATTGTTAGTAAATTCAAAATAAAATTATATTTAATTACAGTTATGTATAGCCCTTTATTGAGGTACTTGCTCTGCTAAGTGTCTTTTTGATGTTTAATATGTTCTTAAATTATTAAAATATGTTTATTGGCGTACTCTCAAAATAAGCAATTTTTATGTACTTGAGAAAGAAAACATTTAAATACACATCTTAAAAATTTCGAAGTCGGGAGTAATAAATGTGTGATGGCAAGCCATGAAATATTTATAATAAAAATGCCAAATTATTTTATTTTGATAAGTGAGACTTTTCTGGTATGTCTTGAAAACAAACAAACAAAAAACCCCACTACTTTGGTGCTTATCCCTAACATTCTTTTTAAATATGAGCTGTGTAAGAAGATTGACCCCTGGAGTTTAATTAAGTAAATATGACTTTCCCTGTCATTGGCAGGAACAAGAACAAAAAGCTGAAGAAGAAAGGATTCGTATGGAAAACATTCTGAGCGGAAACCCTCTTCTTAATCTCACTGGCCCATCCCAGCCTCAGGCTAACTTCAAAGTTAAACGAAGGTACTATACAGTAATGGGTTGGAAATATATACACACAGATTATGAGTTTTACAGCAAACTATATTATGTAAAGCTTCTAAAATCCCACTTGCCACTGATATTCTTCTCTGTCAGATTTTGGAATAATGGAAGGAGGAGAATGAAAGAAAATAATTTATTTTCACTAGATATTTATAGTAACCAGCTGTATACCAGATATTGTTCTAAACATTAGAGGCAGAGTAGTACACTGTGAGCCGTTGAACCTATAAAGCTTACATTTTGGATGTATGTGTCAAGGGGTCCCCAAGACCACTTTTCACATTCTGAGACTCACTAGAAGGACTCGGGACTCAATATGTAGTTGTATTCATGACAAACATAGTAAAGATACACAGTCAAATCATGCGGGGAAAAGGCACAGAAGGAATCCCATGTGCACAGTAAATACTGAATATGGGAAAATAAAACGGAATAGCTTATAGGAAGTGCAGAGTGACCAAAGAACCCTGTAGGCTTAACTTTTAAGCCATTTCTGTTATTTCTCACTGCCTCTGCTGCTACCACCTCCCTGCAGAAGTGATGCAGCTCCCCTAACTGGTCTTCTGCTTGCATGCTCACCACTCTCTCCATCCCCACCCCAGTTATTTTCTTAACATGGCAGCATCATGGTCCTTTTAAAATGACAGGTTACAATGTGCTTTTCTAAGCCTTCCAGTGGCTTCTCAACTCATTCTTAGTAAAAACTCAAGTCCCTAAAATGGCAACAGCATAGTCAAGGAAGGATTTGGTGGGCAGGTGACATTTTTCAGAGACTAGACTTCACGATATTAACCTGAACAGTTGAAAGGATAGAGATGGGGAAGAATTAAACTAAGGTTGGGGGCAGGGGAGGTGACAGGTTTAAGACATATTAATTTTGGGATGTTACATACATCTACGTGCAGATGTTGAGTTGTTATCTTGATATACGGTTCTAGAGTTAGTCTAGGCTAGAGATAATGAATTTGGGATGGGTCAACTTACTGAAGTTTTCTAAAGCCACAAAGACTAAATGAGATCACCTAGGGAATGAATATAGCCAGAGGGGAGAAGTCAGGGGACCAAGTCTGGGATAATGTTTAGAGGTTGAGTAGATAATTAGCTATCAATACCTGGAACAGCACTCAGTACATAGTAGGCACTCAGTAAATATTGATTAAATGAATTACAAATGAAAAAAACTAGGCTGAGAAGGAGCAGCCAGTGACAAAGTAGGAGAACCAAAAGAGCTTGATGGGTATTTTGGACGCCAAGCAAACAAAGCTTGCTTTCAAGAGGAAGGAGTGAGTGATTATCTAGGTCAAATATTGATGACAAGGTAAATAAAATGAGTACCGTGAAGTGGCTGTTGGATATAGCAACATGGGAGAGCAGTTTTGATGTTGGGATGGGCTAAAAGTCTTTTGAGAGTGAGTTGAGGAGAGAGTGGATAGAGGAAAATTGATTATATTAATATTAAACTACACCCATCCCTCGATTTACGTGGATTATCTGTTCCACGCGTCTTTTTTTTACATGTAAGAAAACCGCATAAAAAGAATCCACTAACATACAAAAAAATACTAAATAAGCTAATATAAGTCAGAAAAATGTTTATTTCACATATTTTCACAAAAAAATACTAATGAAAATTCAGAAAAGATAAATTTTGTCCACTCTCTGTGTCTGTACTGTAAAGCAATCAACCTCTTTTTAATTGACACAAAGTCACTATCTTCATCACTTGAACTATTTGGAAGTACTACTATGGTTTCATTATTTATGTTTATGTTTTTGGATGATCTTTTTCCAACCCTACCTTTTGCTAAGTTTTCATAAATTCTTCGATATTCAGTGCAACATTTTAAAAAATGTTTTAAAAATTTTAAGGCTCGTTGAATGTTTGGATCAATATCTAGAATTGCAGTTTCCAGTTTTGTGGCCAATTAAAGAGTTTTGCAAATATTTTGTGCACTGAATGAAACTGGTTCAAGGTCACTGCCGTATTCATTGGCAAGATGGGCTTCGTATAGTAAGTGAATTAATTCATTGTCAGTTAATTCTCGATCAGCCAGTAATTTGTTAATATCGTCGACATTCAAATTATCAGAGCCGTCTTCTTGAAATTTATTTAATAATAATGTCAGCTAATCCCTCTTCAGTTGCTGGAACCATATTTGCTGGTACAACCACTTCTGGCCATATTGCTTTCCAGCAAACATTTAAAGTTGATGGCTTTATATCCCTCAAAGCTAAAGCAATATTCTTGATACAACTTAAAATTGTGTATTTATTCCAGGCTTCTGTAACTGTGATTCATTATCTTCAAGTCTAATAAAAATAGCATTAAAACTTCATTTAATATAATTAATCTTAAAGGTGGAAATAATGCCTTGATCTAAAGGTTGGATCAAGGCATTATTGGAAGTTGGAAGTTGTATTTGGTGGCAAATATACAACTTTTATATTTGCATGTTTTAAAAAAATTGTGTAGATGACCAGGTGCATTATCTAAAGTAAAAGTATTTTAAAAGGAAGATATTTTTCCTTCATATAATTTTCAGCTTCTACAGCAAAACATTGGTAAAATCAATCCTGAAAATCATCAGTAGTCACGCATGCTTTTTTATTTGCCATCCAACGAACGGGAAGATTATTAATAATTGTATGTTAGTAAGTATTAGTTCTTTGTACGTTGCTGAGTTAAGCTATTGTTTTTTAGGAAGAATAATCTCCAGTAAGAGAAGTGAAAAAGAACTGTGTAAAAGTAACACCGCATAGATGGATACATATAAAAAGCCCACATAAACGGAGGGTATTTACCACATATTAAAAAAACACATTAAAAAAATACCACATAGATCGAGGGACGAGTGTATATAGTTTGTTCTTCTGTTTTGTTTGGATTCAGATGGAATTGTTTGGCAATTGGAACATGTCTTAATATGCAGGTCACATGTGACCTAGCTCTGTTCAGCTTTTCATGTTTCTGTGTCCTGCACCAGTGATGACTTTACTAACACTCTTCCAAAGATGCCCATGTTCTTTGCTTATTTTCCGGGTACAGTCTCTTCTGGCATGTAATAAACATATATTCTATGAGCTTTTATTTTATATGTATTTGAAAGTGTATATATTATATATATGGGTTTGTGTTTTATATGCTAGATGGTATTTTGAAATTATACTCTTTATTTTCTATAAAACAAATATTTTATAGCCTATCCATGGGTATTTGTTTCCTGCTTGTATATTATGAAATCCAACCAGAGGAATCCAACCAGAGTCCTGCATTCAACTGCTGTTTCTGTATATTGGCACTATATGAGCCTTAATGTTACATCCCAGTAGTTTCTTATCCTTTTGTTGTCCTAAAAATATAAATACTGTAATGGATGATTACTGAATGTTAACTGATGAAAGCGTATATATGCTTAAAACCACACAATCTGAACTACAATAAATTGGTCATCATCTAGAGCTATCTGTACTAATCAGGATAGTATCTGGTGCTGCCTCTCTTGTTTTAGACCTGAAAACATTCAATATTTATGCAATTAAAATTTATGTATTTCTGCTTTTTAACTCAAAGCTTCTTATAATGGAGAAGTCATAAGAATAGGAATTGCCCTTTCTGCTATTATAAAACAAGATTACAACCTATTCAGAATTACTTTAACCTTTTGAGTGTAATTGCTGCATCGAAGGATACATACATATGTTGAACATCTTTCTATGTAAGGACCAAGTTTTGCAATTCACAGCATTGTCTCCTGATACAACAATGGTAAGAGTGTTCTTTTTTTTTCCTTCAGGTGGGATGATGATGTTGTTTTCAAGAACTGTGCAAAAGGTGTAGATGATCAGAAGAAAGACAAAAGATTTGTAAATGATACACTGCGATCTGAATTTCACAAAAAGTTCATGGAGAAATATATTAAATAGTACAGTTTTATGTGCTTAATTAAAGACTGTAAAATGTAAACAATCATTTTGACTTTATTTTGGTTAGTTTGGTTTTATTTTTCCCTTTTCCCCAATTAAATTGTGTATACGCTTCTCTGATTTTAAGTTCCAAAATATCTTTTCCTTTATTGATACCTTATTTGATAAGGACTTGGGCATTGGTTTTACCCAGTTTCCAGTCTCTGAATGTTCTCAATCATATAGTTTCTTTTTAATATGAGAAAGAGAATCTGCTTGTAATAAATATTTTTAAGAATCTAAATAACCAAATCTGTGCCCCCAACTTTTTGTTGAAATGTATGCAGCTTATAAAATATTGCATATTTTCTTTTGTATATTGTATTTCTTTGTGCATGAACTTTTTCTCATTTCTCTAACATTGATTTAAGATTGGTTACTTCATGAGATCCTCTCAGTGTTTAAGAGAATGATAAAAGATTGAAGGGATTCTAATTTGGACCACACGTTGCTGTGGAAGAGTGTCCCGAGTGTGTGTATCTCTTCTGCAGGTGTTCCTTTTCTCTCGGCCCAAGACAAGCACTTCTGAAGCATGCCTGGGGAGCAGGTGGCACTCACCTGTGTTCTCCTGGATACTCAACTGCCTTGTTTCTCTTGAGTGACACATATTAGATGTAAAGCCTAGGAAAGTTTAACATCAATACATAAAATAAAATTTTTGGAAATAGAATTTTGCTTGTTGTCTTGGAGGATGTGTATGTGTTTATGTGGGAATGTCTCAACATAGCTGGGAAATGAAGTTTTCATAAACTTGGACTGTGATTTAAGGGTTTCACTTCTATACAAAGTTTGAGCTCAAAAATTAAACCTTCTACAGATAACAGATACCCATTCTAAGACCTTACCCACTACTCCAGCGTTTCCCCAGTGGAAGCTTGGACACAGGATGTATATATGTAGCCTGAGTCAGGAGCAGAGCTGGAAATGGAGCCCAGGTCTCGACTCCACATTCATGTTCTGCATTTTATTTCCCAACTGACCTATACATACAAAATTTTGAATACTTTGACTAGTTTTTTTAAAGCCTTTATTAAAACATTTTTATCTCCAACTTTACAATTTGTAAGGTGGCCTTATATTTTCCATTTTCTTCCTAGCAGCACTTACATAGGAAGGAAGCACTGGGCTATTCAAAGTTAAGGAAAATGAAATTCAGGCTGAGCGATGGTTAATACCTGTAAAATGTAAACATCATTTTGACTTTTTTTCCCTCCCCTCCCCCCATTTAAATTGTGTATACGCCTCACTGTTGGGACATGTATGAGTGCCTTAAAACAACATGAAAATATGCTTACAGATGTGAGCAGCATTGTTCGATTTCCAAAACTGGTTCTTGGGATTATGAGTAAGTCCTGAAGAAAAGAAGTGAGCACTTTACAGAAGCTCTGTGTTTTAAACATCCAAAAGACATATAACTCATATTCAGGAGTCTAATACAGGTACAACCATTACTCCAAGATCCACTATTTCCTATTAGAGCCTGACAGTTTGAGGAAGAATCAGAGGCTAATTTCAATGACTTTTTTCCTTTCTCTAATAATTTCCACTGTAAACATTGTGTAACCCATCATAGATCCAGGACACACATAAATGTTACAGTTTCAGCTCAGATTTACAGAGCAGATAACAGCCTTAAAATGCCTTGCTTCCTCATTGTGTTGACTTGATTGAAGAATCAATCTAATCCTTTTAAGGGCCCATGCTGAGCATCAAGAGGCAGGGCTTTGGAGCCAGATAGACCTGGATATGATGCCCAGTACTGTCATTTCAGGCTCTGCTAAAGCAGGCTGAATGTTCCCCAAGTGTGCTTGGACTGCAGCTGTTTGACACCAGTCCCTGTAAGAAGGGCATCATTCTTTGCCCTGTTTCATAGACAAGGAAGTAGACATTTGTAAGAGAACTTTAAAAACAAGCGAAGTCAAATCTTTAAGGGTACAGGGCAGAATTCAAACCTGGAACTGTATTCTAAAGCCCACCCCTCTAACTGATGTGCTTGCCTGCCTCCTCGTATTAATTAGCCCTTCTGACTTTTCTCACCAATGAAACGATAGCAGAGACAATCATAAGGGAGTTTGGTGGGAATTAATAATATAAGGTGTATAAGGTATAAGCGTCTGGCAGGTACATAGATTTCATACATGTTCTCTCTCTACCTGCTTCTACTGGCACAGAGCAGGGGATGGCTAAAAGTTTTAAAGCCTGTTTTGCTCTATCATAAAGGTCTGGTTTTGAATGAAGAGTTTTCCTAGCCCCTCAGAGCTTGGACTGGGCAATAGGTATGGCAGGGCAGGGATGTTTTTGCTTGTTTGCAAGGATTAGAAACCCAGTTAACAGAAACTCAAGCGAAATAGAGGTTTATCTTAATACTTCAAAGGCACCTCCTCTGTCTAGATCTTACTCTGCTTCTCTCTAGTCATCTACCATACTTCCTCTGCAAGACTAGATTTCTGCACCAAAAAACTAGAGGCCACTCATTCATGCTCCTGGCTTCCCTGGAAGGGAGTCTTAATGACCTTATAGCTCAACTGGCCAACAGAGCTTCTGTGTCCTGAGACAAAGCTGGTCCAGTGAGTAGTGGCCAGGAACCAGGTTACATGGTACAAATGTAGGCAAGAGCAGGGAGACGTTGATAGTATAATCTCTGGTACTGACACAGCTTGAGATACTCAGCTGCTCCTGTGGTAGACAAAACCTGGAAACAGATATCACAGCTGTAACTCCAGTCTTAGGGGTAGTACCTGCGCCATGCTGGGCACATCACAGGGGCTGGCCTCTGCCCCCAGTGCAGGCCTGGGGACAGGTATAATCAGGGTCAAGTACCCACCCAGACACAGGTGGAAAAGCTGGGACTTGGCAGAGGCCTCGGAGTCCTGCTAGCAGAAGGCCCTGCTGGGTCAGTTTCCTGCTGGACACAGGAAGCACCAGCATCAGGGAGCAGGGCGGGGCTTGTCTTGTTCTTGTCTTGTTCTTGTCCTCCTTCTTAGAAGTAGGACTAATGGATTGAACCACTCCTGAGGGGAAAGGGGAGAGCAAGTGAAAGGGAGAAGGAGATAGCTGGAGCTTCTGAGGGCTGGGGTATTGGCCCCAATCCCTTCTTCCCTGGGCCAAGGTCAGCAGAACACGAAAGACACAGCACCAGCCTTGGAGTCATCCTTCAGTAAATGCTAGGGGCCATTTTATTGTGGCGGTGGTGTTGGGATGTTGTACGCACACCTTTCTCAAAATCGCACTCTCAGAGAGGCCCCCACATATATCGTAGCTCTCGGAGTCTTTTTATACAGAAGCTCTCTTGGTGCATTTTTCATTTTTATTTTTAAAAAATGTTCTGTTCTCTCCTGGCCTAGTTCTTGGAGGCACTTTAAGAGGGAAAAGAGGAGGAGGAAGGCATCAGTAACGTTCACACTCCTGAGAGAGGCATCTGCCAGGTTTCCTCTGCAGGGTGATCTTTTCATCTCGCTGTATTTTCAAACAGCCTCCCTTTTGAGAAACAGGCAGAGAAATGGCTCCTAACAGCCCCAGACTAATTGGAAGCAGTTTCTTGGGATGTCAGCCGTCTCTGTATGTGCTAGAGTCTGAGGAAGGAGCAAAGAGGAGTGGGGGCTTAAATAATCTTCTGACTTTTTCAGAGGAAAGATTCTGAGGTCCTGATGAGATTTCCTCAACACACACACACCTCCTCTAACTCTTGTGCTCAGGGACTTATATTCCCCAAGGGCGGGTTAAAGAAATGCTGGGAGTCGCATCACCCTCTTGAAGTGTTTACTTCAAAGAAGCCCCAAGGAAGAATAAGCCACCAATGAGGAGAAAAACTGGGATAAGAGAAGTGGCAAAGCTCACAGAGCATCTAAGCCTGCTCCCCTTGGCAGCGGGCTCGTCAGTCGCCAGAGCTGCTAACCAGGCCCCTGCCTCCTGCCAGGCCACCCCTCCCCACCATCCCTGGAAGAGGTACTACCATCCACTACTGTTTAAACCCTTCATTAAACAATCACCATTTAGGAAAAACAATGGAAAGCAATCCCATTCATAATAGTTACAAAAAACAATGTCATAAACTGAACAAGAAATGTGCAGGAACTCTGAGAAGAAAACTCTTAATACACTACTGTGGGACATTTAAAAAAGGCTTTAATAAATGTAGAGGAAAAAAATGTGGAGAAATACCTATTTTTGAATGAGAAGAATTAATGATATAAAAATATCAGTTCTCCACGCCAAACAAATTATGATGAAATTCCAGGAGGTTGGGATTTTTAAAAATTAATGTTTTGACCAATTATTTTTAAATTTTCTGTTAAAATAAATGTGTAAAAACATCAAGAAAAAAAATCTGGCAAAGAAGAATAAAGAGAGGGGTTTTCCCCACCAATTTTAGAATGGATTATAAATACATAAAAATGAGTGTGGTTCTGGCACGAACACAGAGAGATGGGGAAAAAATGGAACATAATAAAAAGCAGAAACAAATGCAAATACATAAAATAATTTTGCACATAAGAAAATTTTCGAAAGGATAAAAACAAGAAAAAAGAAAATCAATAGGAGAGAATGAACTATTCAGTAGATGATGCCAAGAGTTTCCCAACCATATGGTAGAAAATAAATTGTTACTGTCAAGCTGAAGGCCAAGGTAAGACTGATAGATTCCACCAGTAGAGAAATAACAAGCCCTTTTTAGATTTAGATAGTTCGGTACTTACATAGTCAGCAAAAGGAAGTAAACAAGGGTGCTAGCTCCCTGTGCAGGGCAAACCCAAAACAGAAGGGACTAGGCCACAGCCACACTAATGACAGGACATCCTGCTGCAGAGACACCAGTGCCATGCTGCAGCTAAGTTTCAAAGCTTTCCACTCTACCCTAAAGGAGGTGAGTAATAAAACCTCAAACCTTATCAAAACCAGGAGGCCATGGGAAGCTGTCTCCCATAGCCTGAGAAATAATCTTTTAGCAGCTCCTCACAAGCCTTCCATGTTCCCACGTTCCCAGAGGATTCCAAGGCATTCTGTCATGATTCAGATCAGCTGAGGTCAAGTGCTGCTCAGGTGGCCTGTGAAAATGCATGTGAGGTCACGGGTGCCAGCACAGAGGTGTTCTCTGACACCTACCTGACAAATCCTCCAAGCTAAGTTCCATGTGGTTTAAAGATTTAAAGAAAAAAATTAAAGAGAAAAGTATAGATTCATATGTGTTTAATATTGAGGGGTGGCCTTTCTAAGCATGACATCAAAAGCAGAAAACATAAAAGAACAACAGATAAATTGATTACATAAAAAGATTTTATAGATCAAAGAATTGAAAATACCAATGATAAGATTAAATTTCTTTGCTTAGATAGCTTTTTTTAAACTTTCTTAGAGTTCGTTTCTTTTCCTCTTTAATGTCTTCATTTATTTATCCTCATTTAAAAAGTGATTTCATTATAATAGATAAGCAGTCAACTTCTCTTTTCTAGAACTTTCCAAATGGAATAGTGGCCCCAGAATGAGTATAATTATAGGACTGCCTCTAATGCTTTCTCATGTAGAACCCCATATTTACAGTGTCCCATGTCTTTCTTCTTCTCCATATGTTTTTTTCTTTTCATGGAATACATCCTGAAGTAATTTCCTAGGAAAGGATAAATAAGGTGAAACATCCGTGTCCTTCCTTGTATGTGTATGTCTAGTTTTAGT